AACAAGCTCAACGTAAATTTATTTTGATTATATCGTGCTACTTTATAACTAAAGTCAAGTTAAATTTACGAAAGCTTTGTTCCATCACCGTTGGGTTCAGTGCTTTCTTTCATTACGCAACGTTCGATCTCGCTTCACCGAGTGCTCAGATTTGGTCGTAATCTTTAGTCATCGCCTCACCTTTATTACTTATTGCAATTTATAAGTCGGTAATGACATAAATTATTATTACACAACGCAAGAGATATACGCTTAAGTTGTTACCTAGCATTTTAACTTCCGTCTCGTAAGACTTTCAATACGGAAATCTTTCATGAAACGCGTTGATATTCAAATTTGTTTGAGCTGCTCACTCAGATAAGTTGTATCAGCCCCAGTTAATTACTTCAAATTGTTATGCGTGATCAAAAAATGCATTTTATTAAAAAAAATTACCATTATTAGTACTTTAGCCTCGTAATGGACGACAATGTAGGCAGAAATCCCACGCATAGACCTACTCTTTGGTGAAGATTATTGTTGACCACAGGGACGGACCTTTTATGTACTTGTGTAACTTAATAAAAGTACTACAAAAAAATAATATACCTTTCATAGCCCTTAAAAAATTAAAATAAAATTTTGTTAATATGCCGGTGTTTTGGCAATGGAAACTTAAAGTTCATTGATTAATTCTATAATATTAAATCGTTAACTAGCGAGCGCCCGCAATTTCGTTCGCGCAGAAAAGAAAAAAATATAATTAGCCTTTGTCTTCTTCCAGACTATGTTCTATAACAATGCAAAATTTTGGCGAGGTTCTTTCAAGCGTTCTGGTTATATCTTCTGAGAAAGTATCCATCCATTCATCTAAACATTCGCATTTATAATATTAGTAAAAAGTAAGATAAGCAACGAAATGTATACACGTTTATATTTTAAAGAGCTTACAAGTGCAGGTTAATCAATATTTAAATAAACTTAGAATGAAAAAATGACGCAAACAATCCAGTAACATTACCTGCGCTTCTATCTTTGTAGAAAATTTTCATCTTACTTTTTCAAATTTTTCTTTGTGCAAACCCTTGAAAGAAGTAAAATTTACTCTAGCGGAACTTAATATTACACTTCAAAGCTCTTATGTAAGAATATGCTTTAGCCGACGAGAAAACTTTATGAAATTTTAATATCAGCCCAACAGAACTTTGAAATTTAAAAATCCATTGAAATGTTGAGTGACGCTTTACGATGAAACAGCGTAGTTTTTTTGTTAGTTTTTGTCCGTTTTTACACGAGAAATGAAAAATGAAATTGACGAATTGACGGAAAATTGTTTTTAGTAAATCTAATTTGGGGGTCATTAATAGACGGGATAACTTATTAAAACCTTTAAGCACGATAAATTGTTAAAATTTTGTTAAGTAATAGAATAATATTTATCACGTTTTCCGTGTCTTTATTCTACTTAACATAGGCGCATCAAGTTGTCGTCTTCTACAATTTTTACAATTTTACTTGTCACTGCATTCTAATAGATAGTGTAAGTTTTTAAGCAATTATGTACTTTCATCATTCTTGTCGTTAATTGTGTTAATTGCTAGTAAAGTTTACGCTATAAAATCTAACTATCTTATGTTATTCCACGGATAACATATTCGGTTCACCAGAGGGCGCAGGAGTTGTAATGTGAGGTGAATCTAAGATATACTTTCTCCAAGGCCGTGCCGACGCCGCGGCGCCTACCGCAGTTCCATAATAAATACACGGATTATGTTATATCACGAATACTGTTATATATTTATGTTTATATTGTACACTTTCAATTTTTATCCAAGGCCGTATCCGTCTTAAACTACAACTGACATTTAGATTTAATTTAGTTGCCAGGATGTGAAGCTTTGTATAACAGTTAATGCTTTTTGTTTTCGTGGAAAATTATAAATAGGAAGTACATGGAAGAAGTTTCGTTAAAATAATCGAAATGCAAGTGGTGGTTCTACTCAATATTTGTATAATAAGCTTCTACTCTCACGTCTCTAACATTGGTTTCTCAGACTAAAATCTCTGTTTAAGCATTTCGTCAACTCTATCATTACCTTTGACAACACGAAGATACCAATGTGTTTTAAACGGAGATTTTTGGACTCAGAAACCTATAGTTAGTGTAAAAATCCATCATGTGTATACTCAATATTACCCTTTGAATGCTGATCGAAGACTCTAAATATCTTAATTCCTTTTAATGACACATTACACTAAGAATAAAACGAAAACTTACAGAAACAGCAATCACTACTAGTCAACCTTGAGCTGCAAGGAATAAATATTCGAAGCTATAAAAGAATAATTTACCAATAAGTTTAATATTAGACTTACTCGTCAAATGTGTCTAACGAAATTTGTGCATGCCTGTTATTGGCATACATATGTAAAATGTTTGTGTGATTTTTGTTTTTCTGCTATTTTTATATGTATGCTGTTGGCCTGTCTTAATAAATAAATAAATAAAAGACCCGGATTTTTGTAAAGATAAGATTGAAAAAGATTTGGTTGTTTTAGAATTCAGAAGTTTCGTAGTTCCGTGATGCTAGTTATAAGTATTTCTGTTACTATTCTAATATTGTATCTCCTAAGTAGATTGTAACTTACAAATATATGAAATAGTATTATAATATTTTTATTATGAATGAAATTTAAATTCATAACATAGTCGTGACTGATTTGAATATCCATATTTTAATATCCATCTAGGAGATGCCTTCGGCTACAATTTTTCCCAGACATTTTTCTCGGAGAAAATATTTTGTTGTGATTACATTACCTAACGTAAATATAGCTTTGGAATTTTTATAAGTAGACGCAAATATTTTATAACATAGAAATATTTATTATCTTCTTACATAACTATATTTAAAGGTTTTGTATATAAACACTTCAAATGCTTATTAAGAACCGGCAATTTGTTTCACTCCTTGTTTTGTAACAATATGATCCACTGTCCATAACCCTTAAAAATAACTATTGGAATACCATATAAAATTATCCTTGCAGCCATTTTAAGCTTATACATATCTTACTTTATACTTAAGTTTAAGAACTAGAACGTTTGTATCAACGCTTCAAATAGTTTTTTTCATTATTCTACTTCTTACTAATATAAATGCAAATGTTTAGATGGATAGGTGCATGTTTATTTTAGGGTATCAGGACAGCCCAACTAATCTTGATGAAATTTGGCACAGATGTAGAACATAGTCTGCAGAAACAAATAGGCTATTAATTATTTTTTTAGTTGCGCACGAGTGGAGTTGTGGGCGACAGCTAGTATAATGTTACTGTCTACTACAATACTTGAAAGTTATGAGTTATTATTACAAACGTAATAAACATATTTCTCATTACACAACATACAAATTATATATTTCAGTTTGTGTTATATTGATTATGTAAATTGTATTTCAGCGTCGGAACGAATCTGTTAATTTGTTTACAGTACGGTCGTTAGGATGGCCGGAGATGTCACGCTTTCGCGGAAGGTCGGCGTCGACGACCACGGAGACGAACGTTTCTCTTACGCCTTCAACAATACATATCAACAACTTACTGCTACTTACGTAACTCGAAGAAACATGCTTTTGTTCGCTTTTTTTGTTGTGTGCAAGAAATTTCAGTAATAGGAGAAGATTATTTCGATTATTTTATCATGGTTTTCTGAGACCGAAATCTTTGTGTAAAACATATTGTCATCACTGTCTTTATCTTTGACGCAATAGAGATAGCAATCTGTTTTAAACGGGGATCTTTTGTCTGCGAAACCCACGATTAGTCCCTTTACTAATGTGTGACAGTGGAGAAATTAGAAAAAGTACCAGAGATATATTGTCGTTCCTTTCATTATCTTTGTAAAAACAAAGATAGTTATATATTTTGTACAGAAGTTTCGGCAGGAACTGGCGTTGATTAGTGTCAAAATTATGTATTCAACGACCCGATGTTATTAGATTGAGGTCAATCGCTTCCGCAAGCAATCAAGTCACGAAATATGTGTTAGAACATCCCACGTCTGTTATTAGACTTTTACAATTCCACCCACATGTAATATAAATAATTTAAATTAATTAGCACATCTCAATTTTTTATTTTTACACCTTCAACAATTAACCGTAGAATTCTATTGCTGTGACACTTACTACGTAGTCACTGTTTAATTAAGTACAATGAAAGGAATTTATTAGTACAGATAACTACAGTGGAACTCTACGTTAAGAACTAAATTCTGTATTGATGCCGCGAATAATATGTCAGACAAACTAACCACTACACCTATCTGTAGTTACTTTGTGACTGTATGTTTTAATTTAACTTGTATGGAAACTACATAATGAATACAAACCATTCATTTGTACATGAAAATACCGTAATTTTACTTATGTGCCAACACTAAAACATAGAGTAAATACGTCAAAGAATTAAGCAACGAAATCGTAATTTCATAAAATTAGAGACATCGTGAGAAGTCAAGTATTCATATAAAAACAATTG